CTGCAACCTCCTTATTTATTTATTTATTTATTTATTTATTTATTTATTTTAAAGAAAAAATATTTTTTCAGCGTAAACGTCAGCGTCGTGGCAGCAGCAAAAAGGGAATCCTGTTTCCTGCGTCTGGACGGTGAGGGGAGGCGACCGCATCCCCCACCCACCCTTCTCTACCTGGATTTCCTTGGAAACAAAGGACGCGAGATGGCGGAGGTGCGCGGCCGAGGCAGGAAGACCGCGTCCCCGCGCGGCAGCTCGGGCCTGGCGAGGACACCTGCGGCGGGCGTGGGGCCGAGCTACAGGGTCGGGCCAGGTGGGCAGCGGGGCCTGGGCGCGGTGGGCAGGTGCCTGCGGGCCGTCCTCGCGTCTGCGGAGAAGGACCGGGGCGCTGTGGAGTGGGCGCCTCCTCCTGCTTGCACGCTAGGTCCTCGCGTTGGGAAGGGACGCGATCATCAGCTTCCCCGGAAAGGGTGAAGACTCGCTGCGCCTGTCGCCAGCAGCTCGAGAGCGTGCCGTCGCGGCCACGGCGGGGCACCTTGGGAACAACGGTGGGACCCCACGAGGCCAAGCCCAGGACTTGCCCGTTTGCGTCTCTGTGCAGAGAGCACCCGGAAAGCCGCGGAGGCGGCCGTCAGCGGTCTCGCAGGCGCTGGGCGCGCGTGGGTGGGAGCCCTGCCGGCGCTTCGGTTCTCACCGAGGTGAGAAAACCAGTCTGCAATCGGACAGTGGTCATGGTCACAGAACTTTGGGAATACACTGAAGCCCCCGACTCATACAGTATCCTACGGCATGTGAACTGTATCTCGGTTTTTTAAGCTGGAAAAAAAAAAAACAAAATCTTTTAGTTATTCTTCATTCACACAGGGCAAGAAAGACACCTGAGTACCTACGGTAGGACGTAGGCTACTCCAGAGCCCGAGCCCGTCCTTGCTGAGCTCAAGGTTTTAGAAGAGGGTAGATGGATGATAATTTGAAAAACAAGGGCCGGGGAGATGGCTCAGTAGAATAAGCGCTTGCCTGGCAAGAGCAAGGGCCTGAGTTCAATCCCTGGTTCCGCCAAAGAAAGAAAGAGAGAGAGGGAGGGAAGGAGGGAAGGAAGGAAGGAAGGAAGGAAGGAAGGAAGGAAGGAAAGAAAGAAAGAAAGAAAGAAAGAAAGAAAGAAAGACAGTAGCTGCACTGGTGGCATACACCCCAACAATTCAGGGGGCTGAGGGTCACGTGACTCTTAGCAGTTTGAGGCCAGCTTAGCACAGCAAGACTATAGAGAGCCCTCCCTGGTCCCTGTCTTGGTCCAGGAAGATTATATTTGTAATCCCATGGATAAGGTGTTGGAATCCTGTCAAGTTAATTCTAATCTACCACATCCAGAGCAACTCACAGTGAGAATAGACACTAAAGCATATTTGTAGTTATGGAGAACCAAGGGGTCCTAAGTCCAGCCATGATGACGGCTCTCCAGAACAAAGCCTCAACCCTGGGCTGAACCTGGGTTTTATTCATTTATGAAGAAAGGAGTGGCTTGAAGATGCGTGACTGTGAGACCGGCAGGACATAGGTGAGTACCACGAGCTGGGCTGGGTCGGAGGCCTGCGGGCACCTCTGCACTATGCAAAGTGTAATCTGCCTTACACAACTGAGGTAGTATCTGATGTTTTGGGGTCTGGGCTTCAGCTCTGATGTGTCATCTTTCAAGCCCCAGGAAGTCATCGCCTCTATCTCGAGACCTAATCCCAGCCAACATCTTGACCTGGCTTACACCAGAGAGCAGCAGGTGGGGTTCTGGGGAAACTTACCTGCCTTCTTCAAAGACTAGCACCAGCACCTCGGCTCGACTAATATGCATTACTTAGAGCCAACTGAAGGGACAAGGAAAAGTCCAGCTCTGTACATATCTATACATGGAAATAGGGTCAGGCTCGCCAAAACGGAGGCTATTGCTCTTCTTCCAAGGAGAGTCGCCAGTGGTCCTCCACACAAGATCCTGTCTCAAAAAACAAAACGGTAGTGACGTGTGCCCGTAGTTTTGCGCAGGGAGTTTTGTGCAGTAGCTTTGCCTGTAGTACTGGGAGGTCTAGTTCAGGTAAGAAGATACACGGGGAGCAGTCGGTGGAGGAACAGAACGGAACACATTTACACAAGCGATCGGTGTGCGTATAAAATGACATGTGCGTGAAGATGGTCACCAAGCGTGATCCTTTGTGCATTCCCCCACTCCCCAGGATCTAGGTCAGGGAGACCCAGGGAGGGCTGCGGCCCCCTGAATCCCGCACGGAGTTGTGGGGGTGCTTGTGTGCTTTCCCTGCAAGGCACGTTCAGAGCTCTCCTGGAATTCTCCGCCATGACACCTCTGCCAATGCGCAGGAGCCTCTTGATTGTATGAGCAGTGCTTCCTTCGGTCTTTGTGTGTCATTGTCCTTTGCTTGAGGTAGACAGATGATTGGAACTGAGCTTAACGCCAAAAGCAGAGGCTCTGCTTGGATTCTCAGAACACACTAATTCATGGTTTGGATGTAAAATGGGATTGTATAGTATCACATGGTGCAGCCTGTAATCTTGTGAACAGTCTCCCCGGGGTAGGGAAGTGTGTTGAGGCTTTGACCAGGTTGCCCCTAAGTCCCGGCCCCTGGGGAGTCGGGGTTTACGTCTTTTTCTCACTGACCTTTCTCTGCCCTCTCTTTCAAGGTGAGGCTCACTGTGCTGCGCAGGCTGGCCTGGGACTCCTGGCCTCAAGCAGTCCTGCCTCAGCCTCTCGCACCTGGTGAGCTCACTGCCTGCTCCTTGTTCATTCCCCCGGCGCCTGACTTGGGATGATAAGTGATATCATCACCCTAGAATTGTGGCCAAATTATGTATTTAAGACTCTTCCCCTTTGCCAGCATGGTGACCCGATGTAGGCTCCTCAGGCAGCGGGGGCAGCAGGGTCCCCAGTCTGAGGCCAGGCTGACCACCTAGCGAGACTTTGTCTCAGAATGAAAAGGGCTGAAGACAGTGCTCCCTGCTTTCCACTCCCAGTGCTGTAAATGCCAAGCCAACCCCCTCACCGTGCAGATGAGCATAGTTCCAATTTTCCTGATTTTGTATATATTTTCAGGGGAGTCCAGTTTTGCTTTTCCACTTTTTTATTTTGTTTTTTGTGCTGGCAAGAAAACCCTGGCCTTGTGCATATTAAGCAGGTGCCTGACCACTGGGCTGTCCTCCCAGGCCTGGACACTAAGTTCCTTTTCTTCCTTTTCTTTTGTTTATTTATTTACTTGTGTATTTTAGGGAAGGGTCTCCAGGGTGTTCAGGGTCTCACTACTAGATCAGACTCGTAGCAGTCCGCCTGTTTACAGCCTCCCAAGAGCTGGGATGACAGGCGGTGCTACCACACCCAGTCTCAGTTGCGGCCTCAGTGCATCCTGGGGGCGGGGCCAGCACAGCAGGCCCAGGGATCGAACCCCAGGCCCCTGTGCTGCTTGCAGGTGCTTCAATCTGCTGAGCTATTTGGCCGGCCCTTTCTTTTTGGTTTTTTGAGAAAGACTCCTCACTATGTAGTCCAGGTTGGCCTTGAACTCACTATTTAGCTCACGCTGGCCTGAAACTTGCAGTGACCCTCCTGCCTCAGCCTCCTGAGTCCCGTGATTACAGGATATTTATTCTTCTTCAAGGCCGCAGTGGCTGGGAAGAGGAAGCGATGTTTCTAACTGTAAGACTCACTCTAGACACGTGATGGAGCTGTTCCGATGACACTGCGTGCACCTGGCTGTGATTAACAGCCCTGTCTCTGGGGCTGAATGAAAAGGAAAGCGAGAAGACACCAAGATGGGCACAAACGCCACTTCCCATCGATGGAAATGAAACTACCATTTGCGCGTGCTGGGAAACAGTCGCACGGAAATAACGCCAGGCAACAGGACGGATTTTCATGGCAATTTTTTCCACAATAAAATTCTGAATTCATTCACAGCAACAAAGTTAAAGTAAAAGTTGTTAGTAGGGAAGTTAGGCGAGAGGCTTGGAGAAGACAGTCGTGAAACAGAGACACGTACTGATGTGTCCGGGACACTCGTTGCCATCATAATGGGCATCACTGACTAACCTGGCTGAGGAGGAGCCGCGGACTCAGTGCTCCTTTCTAGAATCTTCCGTGGCCTTCCACACATGCCCTGCGCTGCACTTGCAGTGGAGAAACCAAGCTGGAAGAGCGTCGGCTAGCTCACCCATGCCACCTCTCAGCCACCCGCACCAAATCCACAGCTCAGCCTGATTCGGAGGCCCAAGTGCTTGGCCCGCAGGCCGATGTCCTTGGGAAGAAACCTTCCCTTCAGCAGGAATGGAACAAGCTCGCCGAAACCTGTCAGCGTCCCCAGACTGGAGCTCTCGAAAAATCACTGCTTTTTAAGTAGGATATGAGGGTTACACTTGGGAGTTCGGGATGTAGCTCCAGGGCCCAGTGTGTGCTTCGCAGGCATGAGCCCTGGCTTCCATCCAAGCGCCGCAAAAACAAAGAAAATACATTACATTTGCACAAGAGGTTAGCTCATCTTTAAATCCTGCCCTCCCATATGTTGCTATTGATTTATACCAAACACACTGAATAGTGGTACATTGCTGTAATTGCAGCACTCGGGAGGCTGAGGCAGGAGGATCGCTGTGAG